GCATATTACTAACTTTATAAACGGTTTGTTTTTCGGGAAATTCAAATTGTCCGCAGTCATTCTGGATCACCCGGTATAGTCCGTAATGGAAAGTTCAAAAATGCAAATATGCATGTAAAAATATTGTTCTATGTAATTAAAAATGCATAATCCGAGCTCATATTGTTACTTTTCAATATAAAAGTTATTCGGTAAATTGTAATCAAATTATTACAACTTATAGGTACTTACCACAATTTTTTAACCATTCGGGATGATTACGAAAACAAAATAATTTTAGTCCTTTAAAATTTCTACGAGTTTTATCGCAATTTATATAAATACACTTATTTCCGCCAGCTAACGGCATTCTTAAATTTAACTTGATGCACTAGTATTTAATTTCCACGCGAGCGTAAACTTCGTTAGATGGTTACAAGTACACGCAAAACGAGAGACTGACGTTCGCGCCACCAACAAAACCAACGAAATCTTTCCATACTACTAAAAAATCTTTCCATTTCTCGAGCGTTAGCCGCGACAAGTCGCCCATAAGGACGAGCTATCTGTAAAGCTCCGTTTATCTGTGGTATCTACTACTCATTTGAACTACTCAATAGGTTCATGTGCTTTTTTTAAAATGGAACATAGAGAAATTACATTGCATGCAAACTCCTATGTTCGCATTTAAAAAAAATTCACTGTATATGCTAGATGTTTCTACATACCTACTTAAAATCGGCGTAGTAAAAAAAATTTTTTGACCATAGTTTCTTGGATTTAACCCACAGTTGGTATTTTTAAATGCAACAGCCTGTATCTCTTAACGTGAATTTTTTTGCATTCCTTGTCATAATTACCTTGATGTATCACAACCTATTTTTTTTATTTAGTCATGAAAATCAATACTTTTTACTGTTTTAAAATAGTAGGCCATGGATTCATGGAGATTTTGTTTTGTTTATTGTACCTATTCTATTCATGGTAACTAGGGCAGCCGATACCAAACAATAAAAATGGCTGACAGTTGTAACATGTCATTTCAAAATTTTTAAAAAAATATGATATACAGGGTGTCAATTTTAAAACTTGCAGTCGGCCATATTTTCCAAACTAAAGAAGATATTGAAAATCGCGCAAAGCCGTTTCGGGGGTATCAAGGGGAACCAGAATGACGTTATGAGCGACAACCTTAGACCATATAGTACATGGACTGCTAATTGTAACTAAAATATGGTCAAGGACATTGCCTGGGTATGTGCGTTTCAGGGTAAACGAGTCTGTCCGAAATTGTCCGATGAGACACGATTTGAGGCTGTCAACCTAACAAACGTCAGGTAATTAATTGCCCAGGTATGGTAAAAAAAAGCAAACCTATTCTTATTTGCGGACGTATAGAAGATGATCAAGAGTATTTAAAGTTTCCCGTACTACGCGGTTACTATAAAAGCTACTCTCTACCCGATCTGAGTGGTGTTCATACGACATTAGTTTACCCTGAGATTTATATACCCACGACTACAGTGCCCTCTATCCTTGACCACCCATTTTGTATTGAAAGTATAGGGCTAATAGCAGACCATGTACTATATGGTCTAAGGTGACAACCACCCACCCCCCCTTAACCCCCCAGCTCCTCCTCTTCAAAAATCTTAAATGTCAACCCTATACTTGTGACACATCGTTGGCAAGCTACTGACAAATACTTTCCAGTGGTACCAATAACGTCAATATTCGTTAAGACAATTTAATAAAAATGTAATAATTAACACAAAAAAACTAAATGTTGACATTGAGGGATTTATGGCAAATTGGCCAAGAACTTCAACCTGAGCTGCTTCATTAAGCAATCTTGGTTGCTTTCTTTTTTATTGATAACAGATCCCGTTTCTTCGAATTTAGCGATCAAATCCTGAACATAGGCATGGCTTAATTTTTATTTCTTTTTGTTCATTATTAAATTTTTGTTAAATTGTCTTAATGAACATTGACTTTATTGGTACCACTGGAAAGCATTTTTCAGTAGCTTTTCAACGATGTGTCACAAGTGTGGGGTTGCCATTTAGAAGTTTTGAAGAGGGGGTTAAGGGGGTGGGGGGTTGTCACTCATAACGTCATTCTGTTCCCCCCTCGATACCCCCGAAACGGTTTTGCGCGATTTTCAATATCTTCTTTAATTTGCAAAATATGGCCGACTGCAAGTTTTAAAATTGACACCCCGTATGTAATATAATAGTAGACTCGCGTTTATGTGAATATTCGGATATATGAACGATTCTGTAATGCAAACAACAAAATATTCCTATTGACTACTCTGTGGTAGTAGATTGATTCTGTTTGTGGCATTAAGTGTCACAAAAAAGTGGCACTCAGTCGTGAAAACCGAATGTGTATATCTTTAAAAACAGCTGAGATGCATTGCAGTCTCGATCAAATTAGGACACACGTTCTTTCGGCCTATTAGATGGGAAGGTCAGGTCTAGGAAGGATTCTTTTGAAGCATGATGTTCTCTTATTGTCGTGGTGGGCATTCTGATATGTACAGAGTGGTTCAAATTCATGAGCACCATTGGGATCTCTGCAAGGGTGAGAGATACAGTGTAGGTTAAATGGGGGCAAAGTTGCCTCTTTTTGTGCTTATGACATTATGACGTCATTTTCCATAGCTTAAATTGTAGGAAATGGACAGTTTCTGTAGAGTAGTGTGGGATGAAAAAGCTATTGAGATAGACCTGCCCATATTTATTCGAAACAGAGTACAAAATTCACGCCTTTCCAAAGCAGCCAATAAAACAATTGAGCCTCGGAATGGCAACTTTTTAAAGAAAATCTCAAATCAAAAGAACAGAATATTCCTCGGGATATTCCATACATTCTGAATTTGTAATCTGGTACATAGAGTAGTATACATAGAGACATACCGGAATGTTCTGGATTGCTTGTAATGTATAAATACCCCATTCTTTACAATCTTTGGCTGTCCTCAAAATAAAATTGTGCATGTAAATTCGTGTTGCTAATGACGTCAACATTAATGTTGAGCTTTTGTTATTTATTTAGATTTACACCACACATCTCATCTTGTCTTAGAAAATCTTATGCGTCGCTTAAAACCATATATCATATGCGGAATTGCTTGGATCGGTCTACTCGTGTGCTTCTCTGCTCCTCTTTGGTTTTGTCACAATTTGACCACGCGGATGTAGTATATGGTCCTTGTTTAACTAGTTTTGATAACAAACGTGTGCAAAAAGTACAAAATAGTTGTGTGAGATTGATTTTCGGAATGAGGAAATATGATCATGTAAGTCACAACTCACAAGTTGATCGATCTAAAATGGTTAAATATGCATAATAGGAGAGTTGGACATGCTGCTAGCACGTATTATAAAATTTTAGTTAATAATCAACCCACCTATTTATACCGCAAATTAAAATACAGAACTGATGTACATACGCTAAATTTGAGAAACAAAGGTTTGCTTACACCTCCCTCGCACGCCACAGCTATGTATGAAAGATCTTTTACCTACAACATCAGCAAATGGTATAATTCCCTAGCTATGGACATCCAAAGCATGCCTTACAAAACATTTAGATTAGCTACCATGTCGAGGTTATTGCATGAACAATCTTCTTATCAATGATATTTTACAATTTAATTTGAGGTTTTTTTTTTTTGCTAGATATATTATTTTTATTTATTTTTTTTGTATTTTCTGTTAATGGACGGAATCACATGGGTTAGATGGAAGAGCAGAAATGGTATGTACATATGTTTCATTCCATTACTGAATCTCGCCCTTTGTACACATTTCTATGTAATTTAACCTATAGGTACTTATTAAAGACATTTATTATTATTATTATTATTATTATTGTCCCTGTTAATTATTGATTAAATTAAATTAAATATTTTAGGAAAAAACTACTGTCTCCCGACGATCTTCAACTAGATTGGAAACCACTTTATGACCTGTGTGTTCGCTTAATAGAGAAGAGCCATAGTGGCTTAGGAATGTATAAGTACTCTTCATCTCTTGAAATGGTTGTTGAAGATTTAATTTGTGTTTGTCGTTTGTACGTTTGTACTAACTCGAAATGTTGCATTAAAACATACACATACTTTTAGATACTTTCCAGTGGAAGCGACTCAAGAAATTTTGGACGAATTTCGGCCTCACCTATATCCGTACGACAATACACAGACCGGTAACACTATAAATTATCTTGGATTGTTATTACCAATTGTTACTCCACCCGAAAAGAAACATTTGGGATACGAGCTTTGGTTGGGAGAACTCATGGAATTGTGGAGAGTGTGTCCTAATGCCAAGGTGTGGGAAAATGTAAGCGCACTAATTGAACGCTAGGTGACGAACTTACATGAGAAATTTGTAGCATTTGACTTGTCTACTGGCGCGTTTGGCAAATTATAACCACGGGCGTATTAACTGGGACCCTTACATTCCTATTATGTTTGACCGTTTTAAGAGAGCTTTTCATTTACCTGTAAGTTACCAAAGGAGGCAATTGATGAGACCATTTAAAATTGACGCGACGTCTATGGTGAACTGGATTGTGTGTACTCTAGGTGGGCCGAGTGACGTGGCCTTTTCCCACTTAGAAAAATTTATGCAATCTTTAGAATCATACTACCATCCTGCCAACTTTGGAAAGTAATAATGATGTTAAATTGGTTGATTGTGAGTGCATGTAAATTGTTTTGTGGTAGATGGACACCAAAAATTCGAGAGTTGTTAAGAAAATTAGCGTTGTATTTTGTACAACGCGTACATTGCGAGCGTTTTAAGAAGATAACTTGGGACTTTAAGATATCTCCCGAGTTTAAACTGACTGACGCAGACATTGAACGTTTTGTTAATATTATGAAACCGTGTCTAGAACAAGCGATGTTTTCTGGACTCGGCACCCAGGAAGTTGCGTTTGCAATGCAATACCTAGCAGCGTTACGTCCCGATCTAATTGTCCCAGTTGTACTAGAAAAACTCTACACTTCTATGGATAGCCTCACCGAGCCTCACAAACTATTATCATCGATGATTTGTACTATGTCAGTTGCAAGGTAAATGTGGACAGTACAATGCAACTTTGGTATTACGTATGTTTTAGATTTATGGCCGACGGTGCTAAGAACAATTATCCTGAGGGCCCCACTCACATCTTTCCACTTCTCACCTCATTTTTACCAGGAATCGATCCAAACGATATCAGAAAATGCCTGATGACTTTCAACTTGATATCGCATTTTTCAAATTTAGCTCCACTCGTAAACTCCTCGGAAGCTAATAATTATTATGATGACCTTACGGAGGAGGAACATATTATTTGTGAGGCCTCGGCCGGGCTAGAAGATTTCGTACTGCAATTTTTCGATAGAATATGTGCCTGGGTGGAATCCAATTCTCTCGATTTTGTTCGGTTAGAACACAGCGATAACGATAATAAGAGTATACTGGAGTCTGTATCGGAAACTGCGCTATTCTCTGTCATAAACGCTCTGCTTTATCAATGCTCGCCCGAGATTTTCACGGTAAGGGAAAAGACGCATGCGCTGTTTTAAAATTGTTTTGTTTTCAGGCGGCACTTAGAAAGGTTCACAGCTTTGCTACTAATCGTATCTTAGAATTGAAAGTTTCCGGAAAGTTAGTCGCAATTTTATGCGCTTGTTTTGCCAAAACCAACCCTAAGGAAACGCTGAAATTGTTTGTTCCAGATCTATGCGATACAATAGAAAGGTTGCTAGGGGACGACGAAGATATTAGCAAGGAAGAGCAGCTAAATGATGAACTGTTATACAACTTGTTGCTATTGTCAGAGGTAATCAACTTTTTTAAGTCTGCCCACAACTGCGATATTTCATCTCTAGACTACTGATAAGTTTTCATATAGAAACCGCCAATCAAAAATGCAGAAAAGTATGATTTAACCCAAACTAGAATCCACAGTAATTTTTTTTACATTGTGTGGGGTCAAGTGTGGAGAGCACTTTTCCTTAGCTGCTTTAAGTGTTGAGATATTGTAATAATAATAAGTTGGAAATTGGTAATAGAGAAAATTCAAAATTGTTTTTCTAAACATTGTCACTGGAGAACTTTTTCGTAGCTTGATTAATAAACTGCAGGAACCAGTGTTAATCAAACAAGTGTTAGCATATGGATAATGGTAATCCCAATGTATAATGATGTCTCATGTATATCAACCAGTACAGTCCCCCCATGCAATCACACCCCGAAAATAGTATTTGCCAGTTAAATCTTTGTATAGTGATATAGTTACACAACTTGGCCAGAAAGAAGAGATGCAGTGTGAAACTATAGTAGGATCTTCCTTATTTTGCGCACACATGATCGGTTATGACGCCCTTACTAAGTATGTTTACATTGTATCATAGAAGAGAATATACGCAAAGATAATACTACACCAGATAGACACCGTCTGTATAAATTTTAAACGCTCAATTTTGTCAGCGGGATATGTCGACTCTGTCTGCGGAGAATGTTTTTACCACAATAGATTATTCACTGCATTTTGCAGAAAATATTAGAACAATGGCTCTTTATATTTTGTTAGTCAAGCGCGGCCTTCTGTAGGCGTACCGCATTCTTTCACTGTTCTTTTTCTGCTCTAATTTAAATTAATAATACACTTACTCCACACTGAACAGCTACAGAAAAATCTGCCGTATTTCTTATAAAGAATGGAAGGTACCCTCACTTTCCGCCTAACAATCTACCTGTTGCTGTTTACAATTACACAATTTTGGCATGTCCAAAAAACGGCTATCGCAATAGCTCGTGCTAGGTAGCTAAAAAAATTTTTGACAGTCTTACATCTTTTATCCCTAATGTGGACTACCAAAATTTTAACGAAATAAAAATAATCGTTTTGGCGAAAAAAAAATTTTAGTTTTTTGTCTTTGACACTTTTTTCTCAGTTTTTTTGTCATAAAACCTGACAGAAGGTCTTTGGAAGAATTTACTAAAAATAAGTTATTTAAAAAAATTCGATGCCGTTATTTTAAAAATCCGACCCAAATAAAGGCAATTAACATGGGAAAAATGTTTTTTGTAGATTGTGCTCCCCATGTTAACTTAAAGGGCTTATTTATTTATTTATTTATTTTTTATTTCATTCAGTAAATCACAGATTAAGGATATTGGACAAGTCATTCTACACAAACAATAAAAAAATAATATAAACACGTATTTGAATATATAGTAAATTAAAACAAGGTAGGTATATCACAGTTACAGTTTCTGAAAAAAACAAAGACGAGTAAAACTTATAAAATAACAAAGATATAGAAATCAGTTGAAATGCATGGTCGAGATATTCTTCCATAGAATAAAACGCATGAGTGTGGCTTATAATGACACATGACACCGATCGAAAGAAAGATTGCTTTCTCATCTAATCACATACGAATTAGTTAATTTTCGGTTGCATTTCCAATTATTTCATCAAAAATTTTGAGATAAATGCAATTACCAAAATCATGTAAGCCATGACTATTAGTAAGACAAAAATCAGATTCAAATGTTATTCTTTAGAAAATTTCCAATTGAGTCATGACACATGATTTTGCTAATTGATAATTTTGTTGAGTTTTTTATGAAATTATGAGAAATACACCTGCAAATGAAAAAATTCGCCTATCTTTAGATGAGAAAAAATCTTCTTTCGATTGCATGGGGTCATTATAAACCCTCGGAAGTCGGAAGTTAACCTACATGTGGAACAACAATCTGCAAAAAAACAATTTAATTTTTTAACATGTTAATTATGTTCGGTTTTGAAATATTCACCAGGTATGTGCTTGATATCAAAATTTAAGCGCTGGAGTGATTTAGTTTCTCTGGAAAATATAAATTCGAAAAACGGTCAAATTTTGAGAAGAAAAGGTTATAATAGCGAAATGGGTAAAGTTAAGGGTATGTTACGTTACATAAAAAATAAAAAAGTACTGTACAGTACGTTTAAATTTCTCAATAAAATATGGGGTGTTCCATTTTTTAAAAAACGGGTGTTTGATACGCTAGTGAAATACAGCATGCCACTGGTGACCAGAAATATTTTGGAAACATTTTTGCTCCTCCATTTTTCCCCATATCTTTTATGGTAAAGGCATTACGATCCGAGGGGATGTTACAACCTGTATAAAGTACATATTATACAAACGGTATATAGTTACTTACTTACAAGGAAAAACATGCATTGAATTTGTTGAATTCGTAACTGTGATTTAACATTCCAGAACCTACATAAACACTTAATTTCAACGTTTATTGTGTTTTAAAAATGTTTTGCTGCCCCCCCCCCCTTCCCACCCCAAATGAATGTTATTACTGGATTCTAAAACAGATCACGAGTGAATCAGAATTCAGATGTTTGATAATAATAATAATAATTTATTGAACCTTTTGTTGCCATTCATTCAATGTAAAGGTATGTCAGTAACTATTGTTAACAATACAAATGTGGTTGCATTTATACCAATAAGCGTAATATAAGAGATAACGTAATAACAGATAACAGCTATGACTTACGTTCTTGGAGCGTGTAGTAGTAGTAGCAATCTAAGTAGTTTGTTGGAGCATTTTTGTACTGTTTTTTAATTTTAATTTCTTTTATGTCTTGTGGTAGCAACCTGTGTAATGTACTGATTTTTTGAAACTGTATGATTGCGCTTAGGTAAGAACATACAGGGGTAGTGACTTGACGAACGCACCATAGGAATTTCAGTAGTAATTTTTTTATTTGGCTTCCCTGATTATTTTAGAAATAAAGTCTATTTAGGCGAGAGAAAAAAATTACGAATCCGTACGTGCTATTGTTTCCTATTTTATAAATTCAGAAACAGCAAAAAATTAAAAACCGTCACGTTTATAAAGTCGGTAATGCCATGGAATTATCAAATCAAACAAAAGCGCCTGCATTTTAGTCCAGTCAAATTATCATAATACCCTGCATCACTTGTGTCATTTCTATATTTTTTTTTAAATTGTTAGGCTGAGTACGGAGGTCAAAAATCCAAGTTTTCGACATCCAAAGACCTGTGCGAGCAACGCAGCACTCGAAAATACGCCATTTTTTCTATTATTTTTAGGTTTTGGTTAGTTTTAGATCTTAAGGACAGATTTTAAAGCAAGCAATTACTGTCGTATACTTTTTTAAACTAGACAAAATTTGTGACAATTCAAGCCCTTAACTGACTCTGTAAGTCCAATAGTTTTGGAGATACAGCGTTTCAAAGATTCGTAAATTCTTCAGTTTTAATCAAATTTGCCTTTTTTTTCGCATAAAAACCTCATGAACATTTTTATAATTTTGTTCGTTTGGGGGGACTTTCTGGTGAGCAGTCTCCACAAATCCGCACAGAAAGAGCTAGAATGTTGATATCCTCTGGATCCCTACCATCTCCCATGATAAGAAAGTGGTCATCTTCTTCTTCAGCAAGATCCACTACCTGTTGCATGGATTGCGAAATCTGTGAATTTTTTCCTTTTGCCTGACCTTGCTCGACCATTCAAAAGGGACACCGTATATAGAAGATCTGTGACAGTAGCAGAAAGCTTACTCACAACACTAGGTTTGAATTAAGGCATCATATAAACATGGATATTTTCCCACTAAAAGACAAAAATATTTAATTTGATTTCATTATCTGCAATTTTTAGCACTTCTTCAAGTTTATTGCGACTCACGACTTACGACAATTCATCGTGCATATTTTGTAAGTTTACTTTCTGCGAAGAAAAAACGCAAATTTTGATAAAACTTCTAAAACTAATAAATTTACCAATAGTTGAAGCACCGTATCTCGGAAACTATTAGACCTGCAGAGATCGTTTATCGCTTAAATTGTCAGAAATTTTGTCTAGTTCAAAAAAGTATACGACAATAATTGCATTAAAATCGGTTCTTCAGGAGTAAAACTTACAAAAACCAAAAAATGGTAAGATAAATGACATATTTTCAAGTGCTGTGTCGCTCGCACAGGTCTTTCAATGTCGAAAACTTGAATTTTTCACATCCATATTGATCCTAACAATTTAAAAGAAAAATTAGAGATGACATATCTGATGCATGGAATGCCCATTTTTTGGTCTAATTTGACTGTACTATTTGCCATAGAACAACAAACTTAGAATGGAAACTGTAATGTAATGTCATAGATATATAAATACCTAGATACAGCCATCCTTAACAAACGTACCTCGGTTTTTAAAAAACATATCAAAGAAATTTGTACATCTCTCCATTGCCTTCTAACCAAGAAGAAACATGTTCTATCTCTTTTTATTGCATTAACTTCTATGTCGTACGCGAATCGGACGCTTAAAACAAACTTAGCGCGTCCCATAAGTCATGTGACAGTTGACACATTTCACGATCGCGCGAAATCAAATCTAACTAAATGGGCGGTTTTTTCACTAAATATTATGTAATTATTGCGTTATCAATGGAATACGAATAACATTAGTGCTTGCCATAATGATAGACGCGTCCATAATTGTTATTCCTGAAATAGTTTTATTACATAGAGCTACGCCATTCAAATTTGGGACTTTGTTTACCTTGTTTGGCACGATGTGCTGCAGTGAATTCATTGCTGGCTTGCAGAATACCAAAAAAACCGTAAGTAAGTAAAGTTTATGTTCAACATTTTAATTTTAATTGCATGGTTTTAGGCGTATTGGTAACGGAGATTAAGTTGCGAGAGGAAGTGAATTCGTTTCCAATTATCATTTTGGCCTATATGATGTTGATGCAGTGCGTTTGTATCATGATCACAAAGAAGGATCCGTGCAATATTCTTAGGAAAACGAGATTTATAGACTGTGTGTGCGTGCAATATAAAATTTTGGTCGCTACGCGTCTTGCCTACC